TGTTTTCCTGTATCAGTATAATTGTTATCACCGGAATGTTTTTCTTGTATCAGTATATACATGTTCCCCAGTATGTTTCTTGTATCAGTATAACATGTTCACCGGAATGTTTTTCTTGTATCAGTATAACATGTTCAGCAGTATGTTTTCTTGTATCAGTATAACTTGTTCACACAGAATGTTTTCTTGTATCAGTATAACAAGTTCACCAGTATGTTTTCTGTATCAGTATAACTTGTTCACCAGAATGTTTTCTTGTATCAGTATAACATGTTCACCAGAATGTTTTCTTGTATCAAGTATAACATGTTCACCAGTAATGTTTTCTTGTATCAGTATAACATGTTCACGGGCAGAATGTTTTCTTGTATCAGTACAGAATGTTTTCCTGTATCAGTGGTAACATGTTACCAGAATGTTTCTTGTATCAGTAAACTTGTTTTCTTGTATCAGTATAACTTGTTCACCATTGTTTTCTTGTATCAGTATAACTTGTTCAAACAGAATGTTTTCTTGTATCAGTATAACATGTTCACCAGTATGTTTTTCTGTATCAGTATAACATGTTTCACCAGTATGTTTTCTTGTATCAGTATAACATGTTCACCAGAATGTTTTTCTTGTATCAAGTATAACATGTTCACCAGTATGTTTTCTTGTATCAGTATAACATGTTCACCAGTATGTTTTCTTGTATCAGTATAACATGTTCACCAGTATGTTTTCTAGTATCAGTATAACATGTTCACCAGTATGTTTTCTGTATCAGTATAACATGTTCACCAGTATGTTTTCTTGTATCAGTATAACATGTTCACCAGTATGTTTTCTTGTATCAGTATAACATGTTCACCAGTATGTTTTCTAGTATCAGTATAACATGTTCACCAGTATGTTTTCTTGTATCAGTATAACATGTTCACCAGTATGTTTTCTTGTATCAGTATAACATGTTCACCAGTATGTTTTCTTGTATCAGTATAACATGTTCACCAGAATGTTTTCTTGTATCAGTATAACATGTTCACCAGTATGTTTTCTTGTATCAGTATAACATGTTCACCAGTATGTTTTCTTGTATCAGTATAACATGTTCACCAGAATGTTTTCTTGTATCAGTATAACATGTTCACCAGTATGTTTTCTTGTATCAGTATAACATGTTCACCAGTATGTTTTCTTGTATCAGTGTAACACGTTCACCAGAATGTTTTCTAGTATCAGTATAACATGTTCACCAGTATGTTTTCTTGTATCAGTATAACTTGTTCACCAGAATGTTTTCTTGTATCAGTATAACATGTTCACCAGAATGTTTTCTTGTATCAGTATAACATGTTCACCAGTATGTTTTCTTGTATCAGTATAACATGTTCACCAGAATGTTTTCTTGTATCAGTATAACATGTTCACCAGAATGTTTTCTTGTATCAGTATAACATGTTCACCAGAATGTTTTCTTGTATCAGTATAACATGTTCCCCAGTATGTTTTCTTGTATCAGTATAACATGTTCACCAGTATGTTTTCTAGTATCAGTATAACATGTTCACCAGTATGTTTTCTTGTATCAGTATAACATGTTCACCAGTATGTTTTCTTGTATCAGTATAACATGTTCACCAGAATGTTTTCTTGTATCAGTATAACATGTTCACCAGTATGTTTTCTTGTATCAGTATAACATGTTCACCAGTATGTTTTCTTGTATCAGTATAACATGTTCACCAGTATGTTTTCTTGTATCAGTATAAAATGTTCACCAGTATGTTCACCAGTATGTTTTCTAGTATCAGTATAACATGTTCACCAGTATGTTTTCTTGTATCAGTATAACATGTTCACCAGTATGTTTTCTAGTATCAGTATAACATGTTCACCAGTATGTTTTCTTGTGTCAGTATAACATGTTCACCAGTATGTTTTCTCGTAAGAAAATAACACTTTTTGTAGTATCAGTGCAACATTTTCACACCTATATCTTTTCTTGTGAATTTCACCAGTATGTTTTCTTGTACAAGTATAACATGTTCACCTAAATGGTATTTAATAACCCAAGATGAACATACCTGGTGATAATTAGATTGAATCTGGTAAGTTATTAAACATGTACACATGAGATATAAACATGTACACATGAGATATAAACATGTACACACGAGATATAAACATGTACACATGAGATATAAACATGTACACACAAGATATGAACATGTACACATGAGATATAAACATGTACACACGATATATAAACATTTACACACAAGGACAGGCTTAAATATTGGTTGATAAATAATCTGATAAATACATGAATACAAGGCAGACACTGGACCATTAAGATATTAAATTAGGAGATTAAAACAATAATAAAGTCTATATAAATTGCAATCTTTATTGACTCTAATAACACACTCATACAAAGAATATCAAACATAAAAAATATACAAATATGCAAAACTAAACAACACAGCAGTTCAATGTCAAGGCCAAATAAGTTAATATATGGACTAGTATAAATGATGAAACAGTTTTGATTTCTACGTTTTACATTTTTTACACATTATAATTAATTCTTATTGTCTACAACATATTGAATCACAAATTGAAATATTTGTTATATAAAAACCCAAGTTTACATTATTTTAAAAGGTTGAATAAGAGTTATCATAATTATACACAAATAAATGATTACTTCATTAGTCAATTATTAAAATAATTGATTTTTACCATACAATTTTGATTTTTATTCATTATTATCACGATGAGTATAAGCCATTGTTTAAATTATGAATTACAATATAAATGCTATAACTGTATGACTAACAATTTTCCCGTGATTGGTCGAGACAGGTCACATGACAGTCCTATACTAGACATTCATCTTTCTACTGGTTTCCTTACACACATACACAATCTAAATTTCAATTTTTAAAGAAAAACAATACAAAAAACATAATATATAACATAACATTAGCATAGTATAGTAGAGAGTATTACAGTGTCAGAGATTGAGCAATGATGACTTAAGATGACAAAATATTACTTGTAACACAACTGATATAAATTGAGCATCTAAAATAAATATATGTTTATATCTATGTTCTTATTGAGACATTTAACACGTCATATAAAAACAAAAAAAAAACAGCAAAATACAAATATTAACACAAACACATGGGTGACATAACTTTGATGCTCCTTACTTTATTTTCGTTCACAAAACTGTTATCATGACCTAGTTAAATGTTGAAAATCTATTTTTAGCCTTATTGACCTTCACTTTGACTTTATCATCATGAAAACATGGTTGAGGTACATGGTAAGTAGCCACATGGGAGACTATCTAAGCTATATGTGTCAATACATGACAGCAGTGAACTGACACTATGACAGAAAGATGGAAGCTGGTTCTATAAATAACCCTAGGAGAATAACCAATCAGCAGGGGAGACAACTAATAGGCAAGTATTTATTGTTTAGAATTCACTTACTTAAATTATTAGGGTTATAGCATGAAGGTCAAACTTTAAAAAGCATAGAGTCAAACCATTAACAGATATAACCTTAATAGTTAGATTAAAACTATGAAATAATATAGTGCTATATATCTGATATTGCATCTAACAGTATGTTAAATATCACTTTGACCAGTTACACAGTTCTATGGAAATTAACACCTTTATATTTTTAACAAATGCCTATACAAAAAGGCTTATTTTCATCAATTTAAAAAACAAAACTATTCAAATCAAGCCATATTTCTTAATTCTCAAAGAAAAGTTTAAAAGATTTTTTTATTTCTTCAAGAAATACTTCATATACTGACTTGATGTTATAAAAATTGTAATTTCCAAGTTATCAATATATATAACATATCAACAAAACTAAACAAGTATCCTCTATGTAAACATCTAGTCTTGCTCACAGCAAAAAAACAACAAAAACCCTAAAACAATAAATCCCTATTTTCTTAGAAATAGATTAGAAATTAAGCATGTTAACCTCAATATTTGCTAACAATATATCATTTATTCACATTCATACAGCAATTATAATTTCTTTTCCATATTCATACATGTACATACAGCAATTATAATTTCTTTTCCACAAACATACATGTACATACAGCAAATGCTGCTACTGATATGTGCTCAAGCATCATACTGGAAATTAGGTCAACTATATTTAAATAAAATAAAATTGAATCATTTACTTTAAATTTTTTTTTTTTTTTTTTAAATTTAAATTTTTTAAAAATTCTAATCCTTTTTCTGATTTTAGAGTTGTGTACATAAATAGAATTCTTGTATGATGTAATTTTATGTGATGTTTGATTGTAATGTATAATTGCTTTTAATCATTTAATGCTTTCTTACCCATATTTATATGTGCTGATAAAGCTTAACTGTTTTACTGAGTCTTTCATAAATGTACATTGATCTTCTTAATACTTTTATATATTTTCTTTTATACAGATTGTTTGTTTGAATTGTTATAGGATAATAAGTTATGTCGGAAAATAGCTTATATAGCTAATGTTTATATGTTTTTATGAAACCGACTTTAAATAAAGATTATCTTATCTTATCTTATCTTTTTTTTTTTTTTAGCAATTATAATTTCTTTTCCATAAACATACATACTGCAATTATATTTTTCCTATACCATTTACATACAGAAATTATAATTCCTTACTCCATTTACATACATACAGAAATTATATCATTATATCTGAGACAATCAAGAAATTTTATATTGTATCTGAGACAATGTAATTTTAAATTAAAATAGTAAAAAGTTAACCTATATATGTTGATGAAAAGTGAAAAATAAAATAAACATACAAAAACAAAAAACAAACAATAATTTTGGCAGTGATACAATCATCTCTGTAATAGCATTACTCTTGGCTTAATGTTCTATCATACTAAAATAACTGTAACATCAACATATGTTCCAGTTTAAAAAATACTTTTATCATCAGTGTAAGTTTTGTTACAACATATACAGTGTCAGATTTGTTACATGTTCAGTGTAAGTTTTGGTGTAAGTTTTCGTACAACATGTTCAGTGTAAGTTTTCTGACATGTAAATTGTTGATATTTGTAAATTGTTGATATTACAAATATTAAATCTTATCATAGATATATTATGTTCGATGACAAAGCTTAAAATCTTTCTATAATCTAAAGAACAAAATTAATCTTCGTTAATTTCTCGGACTGAAACAAAAAATGTTAACAAAATATAACTTAATGAATTAACATACAAAGAATTATAGCCAACAATTATATATCTAGATTTATTACAAGTACATCATCAAACACCTCCCCTTCTGTATCCATCCCAGCATGCACCAAGCATAAAGTGAACACTTTCTCTATCTCACTAGATGGCGCTGTAGCACTGGTGGCGCCATCTACATCATCAAAGTTATCTGCCCCTGAACTGAATTCTTGTCCACCAGTAGCTCCATTTAGACTTGAATCTGCAACAGAAAGTATATATTTTGATACAGCCTGGCAGGTCACAAGTTGTAATATAATATTGTAATATAACTATATTTGCCTAAGAATCAATTATCAAACATGTCTTTCTTCCATTAAAACAATAATGAATGAGCAATAATCAACAATAATCAAGAGCTGTAAGTAAAATAGTACACTTTATTATCCTTTGTGATATATAGGTACCTAACTGCCATGCAGGAAATTTCAACGTTCACACAATAATAAGCATCCTAGAGTTATGGGTATTTGGAGATGACCTATAATTGTGATCCCAAATCATTTGAGTAATCTTATATAAAGCTGTCACTTCAATCAACATAGAAGTAACATATTGGTACAGGACCATTATACAATACTACACCAAATATCTAAGCAATAGGCCTAATTATGGTTATTGAGAAAAACATTTTTAAATGTTCTTAATTAATGAAGGCTTTTCATTGATTAAATGTTACGTTTATATAAATCATACACAGAGCTGCTTTTTTTGTGTTTTTTTCAGACAAAGGAAGTTTGCTGTATTATCAATTTGTTATACTCTTCATGGGGTAATATCACCATATATAAATGACTGTTTGAAATATAACCCTCACCTTTATGCAAAAAAAAACATTTATATAGGGCCATGTTACCAATAAACAATAAAATCTTTCTAACCAATAATACATAAAATCATCTGCCTCAAAAAACCCACCCCATGAGGATTTGGGTAGATTTTAACCGCAGTGTTACAATTTGAAGAAACTTGGCAGAGTTCCAATATCAAAGCTTTGGGCATTAAGACCACTTTTAAAAGATTTCAAATTCTACTTCTACATTTTGTGACTTGATATACAATATACACAAACCATTTGAACATCTTTAAGATATATATAACATAAGAAATAAACAATTTTTATTGAAGTTGGCCCAGTGTCTACAATGGGAATATCACACAAGTTTCTGACGGACAGCCAACAATTCTAAAAGCTCACCATCAGCATCATGTGCTCTATATAAATATATATCAGGCTTATTTCGGTAAGGATAAATGTACAGTATATACATAATGATATTCTTATCATATTTCACAATGATCATTAAGTAAAACATGGGATACCAGATGTACCAAGTTCCGGACAACTTGTTCGCGACGACGCACTTCCAGGTTTGGTCATCTCACGTTCTAGAACATCTTTAGCTTGCTTCGTTGCATTGACTACATCATTGGTCGTATCTGTAGTTACCACGCTACGTTTTAAATTTATCAAGCACATTCCAAAATCAAGTCTACAGCCAGGGGGCGGTCCTTGTAAATCTATTTTTGTCCACTGTGATGTAACTGTAATATAATAATCATTTTGCTGACATAAGATACAAAACATATATCAATAAAGAACATATCATTACACAGACTGGTTAATTAAATACATGTACATTTCTAACAAATTTGCGAACCTAATTATTCATAAAATTTTAATTTTCAGTTCCGCTAAATTAATAAAATATTCTGCAAAAATTGTCCAGTCATAAAATAAGTGGCTTATTACCAAATTTCTTATTTTACAGTACATTGTATACAATACAAACAGTGTTTGCAAATATTTTCACAGGCTACATGTCTTAAAACTTCGGAAATTGTGATTTCAAAAATGTTTTGACTGTATTCATATATACAATACTCTGCAATGATCCACCTTTCATCAACAATCTTTAAACTTCAACTTGGTAGCATATGATTTTATGCTTTGTAGAAGTTGTTCTTAAGGTAGAATATTAGTGTTTACCTTTCAAGAAATTGAGCGCTTTTTGTCAACACAAGACAAGTTTGATGCGTAAACAAGGTATCAGAAAGCTTGTCCATATAAATAAACCAAACCCCGTATCAATGCTTAGCAATTGGTGCAAACTACTATGTCACAAACATACATTCATAGAATACAATCTGTTTCTGTGAACTCTCTCACAGTCATATAATATAATCTAGGTAAGTAAATAGCCTTACCTACAGTCATAGAATAAAATATAGCTCTTTAAACACCCTCATTTAAAACATTTATTGTCCAAGCTTCAGCAACATTTAACTTATAAACATACATGGAGCATAACAAAGCTCTGTCAACATCCTAACTTATAAACATACATGGAGTATAACCAAGCTCTGTCAACATCCTAACTTATAAACATACATGGAGTATAACCAAGCTCTGTCAACATCCTAACTTATAAACTTACATGGAGTATAACCTAGCTCTGTCAACATCCTAACTTATAAACATACATGGAGTACAACCAAGCTCTGTCAACATCCTCACTTATAAACATACATGGAGTATAACCAAGCTCTGTCAACATCCTAACTTATAAACATACATGGAGTATAACCAAGCTCTGTCAACATCCAACTTATAAACATACATGGAGTATAACCAAGCTCTGTCAATATCCTAACTTATAAACATACATGGAGTATAACACATCACTTATAAACATACATGGAGTATAACCAAGCTCTGTCAACCTCCTAACTTATGAACATATATGAAGTTATACCAAGCCCTGTCAATATCCTTACTTATAAACATACATGGAGTATAACCAAGCTCTGTCAATATCCTAACTTATAAACTTACATGGAGTATAACCAAGCTCTGTCCACATCCTAACTTATAAACTTACATGGAGTATAACCTAGCTCTGTCAACATCCTAACTTATAAACATACATGGAGTATAACCTAGCTCTGTCAACATCCTAACTTATAAACTTACATGGAGTATAACCTAGCTCTGTCAACATCCTTACTTATAAACATACATGGAGTATAACCAAGCTCTGTCAACATCCTAACTTATAAACATACATGGAGTATAACCAAGCTCTGTCAACATCCTAACTTATAAACATTCATGGAGTATAACCAAGCTCTGTCAACATCCTAACTTATAAACATACATGGAGTATAACCAAGCTCTGTCAATATCCTAACTTATAAACATACATGGAGTATAACCAAGCTCTGTCAACATCCTAACTTATAAACATACATGGAGTATAACCAAGCTCTGTCAACATCCTAACTTATAAACATACATGGAGTATAACCAAGCTCTGTCAACATCCTAACTTATAAACATACATGGAGTATAACCAAGCTCTGTCAACATCCTAACTTATAAACATACATGGAGTATAACCAAGCTCTTGTCAACATCCTAACTTATAAACATACATGGAGTATAACCAAGCTCTGTCAACATCCTAACTTATAAACATACATGGAGTATAACCAAGCTCTGTCAATATCCTAACTTATAAACATACATGGAGTATAACCAAGCTCTGTCAACATCCTAACTTATAAACATACATGGAGTATAACCAAGCTCTGTCAACATCCTAACTTATAAACATACATGGAGTATAACCAAGCTCTGTCAACATCCTAACTTATAAACATACATGGAGTATAACCAAGCTCTGCCAACATCCTAACTTATAAACATACATGAAGTATAACCAAGCTTTGCCAACATCCTACACTTATAAACATACATGGAGTATAACCAAGCTCTGTCAATATCCTTACTTATAAACATACATGAAGTACAACTAAGCTCTGTCAACATCCTAACTTATAAACATACATGGAGTATAACCAAGCTCTGCCAACATCCTAACTTATAAACATACATGGAGTATAACCAAGCTCTGCCAACATCCTAACTTATAAACATACATGAAGTATAACCAAGCTCTGCCAACATCCTACACTTATAAACATACATGGAGTATAACCAAGCTCTGTCAATATCCTAACTTATAAACATACATGGAGTATAATCAAGCTCTGTCAATATCCTTACTTATAAACATACATGAAGTACAACTAAGCTCTGTCAACATCCTACACTTATAAACATACATGGAGTATAACCAAACTCTGTCAATATCCTAACTTATAAACATACATGGAGTACAACTAAGCTCTGTTAACATCCTTACTTATAAACATACATGGAGTATAACCAAGCTCTGTCAATATCCTAACTTATAAACATACATGAAGTACAACCAAGCTCTGTCAATATCCTAACTTATAAACATACATGAAGTATAACTAAGCTCTGTCCACATCCTAACTTATAAACATACATGGAGTATAACCAAGCTCTGTCAACATCCTAACTTATAAACATACATGGATTTTAACCAAACTCTTGTCAACATCCTAACTTATAAACATACATGGAGTATAACCAAGCTCTGCCAACATCCTACACTTATAAACATACATGGAGTATAAGCCAAGCTCTGTATATCCTCAAACATTATAAACATACATGGAGTATAACCAAGCTCTGTCAATATCCTACTTATAAACATACATGGAGTATAACCAAAGCTCTGTCAACATCCTAACTTATAAACATACATGGAGTATAACCAAGCTCTGTCAACATCCTAACTTATAAACATAATGGAGTACAACCAAGCTCTGCTCTAAACATACATGGATTATAACATAAGCTCTGTCAACCTCCTAACTTATAAACATATATGAAGTTATAACCAAGCCCTGTCAATATCCTTAACTTATAAACATACATGAGTATAACCAAGCTCTGTCAATATCCTAACTTATAAACATACATGGAGTATAACCAAGCTCTGTCAACATCCTCACTTTTATTTGTGTATTATCAAGTTTGGATGCAGACTTCAAAAAATATAATACTGCTCATTTAAAAAGTATTTTAACATAAAAATAAATGAGTGGGAACAGGGGCACCCCTTAAAAATAAAAATAATAGGATAAGGGTTTATGTTAAAGGTCATGCATGTTCCAAAAAAAGTGAAATTTTTATTGCAGAAAAATAAATTGATATACCCAGTTTTGTAAAATGAGACAGACAAAAGGTTTTTTAAAAAATATGAGGGGAAAGTGTTTGCTCAACAGAAGAAGTGATCCCTCATGCAAAAAAAATAAATTTCCTTTTTACATTTTCCCCACAAAAAGTTTAATCAAGGGACCCAAAACCCAAAAAATCCCCAAAATTTTTTAAACAAGGTCAATACAATAAAATTTACAATAAGTTTAATTCGGGACCAATAAAAATATCACAAAAGTCTTATTCAAGTTCAATACTAATACTCCCAAAAAGTCTTTTTAAAAAGGTACCAAAATTTAATTTTCCCTAAGCGGTTATATCAAGGTGGGAATACTTAATCTTACAATAATCTTAAAATTTAAGGGACAAAACAATCACCTCCCAATAAATCCTATATCAAGGTTCCAAAAAATATCTAGCATCAAATTTTGCACCCCCATATATTTTTAGGGTTAAGGTTAGAGTTTATTGAACAGCTTTCTGTTGTTATGTGTGTTATTTTGATTGTTGGGAAATTTTTGTTTTTGAAAAGGCAGTATGTTGGGGGGCAAATAAACATATATATACAAAGGAAAAAAGATGAACAATTGTGTCCCGTTGAGAATTTCAAATGTATGTTATTGGCCCCCAAAAGAAGTAGTAGGGATTGGTAAAAAAAATGTAAATTATATTTGGGGGTAAAAAATGAAAAAAGACCCAAAAAGAAAATAGTAAGCGGATTGGTCAGACAAATTTCAACATTACTATGTGTAGTCAAAAGATGACAAACAGCCAAAAATGAAGTAGTAAGCGGTTTGGTCAGACAAATGTCAACATTACTATGTGTGGTCAAAAGATGACAAACAGCCAAAATGAAGTAGTAAGCGGTTTGGTCAGACAAATGTCAACATTACTATGTGTGGTCAAAAGATGACAAACAGCCAAAATGAAGTAGTAAGCGGAATTGGTCAGACAAATTTCAACATTACTTATGTGTGGTCAAAAGATGACAAACAGCCAAAATGAAGTAGTAAGCGGTTTGGTCAGACAAATGTCAATATTACTATGTGTAGTCAAAAGATGACAAACGGCAAAAATGAAGTAGTCAGCGGTTTGGTCAGACAAATGTCAATATTACTATATGTAGTCAAAAGATGACAAACGGCAAAAATGAAGTAGTCAGCATGATGGATTGGTCTGTAATTTATTTTTCTTCAATGTAAATCATTTTAACAAAAGTGACACCAGGGCCATGATTTCTGTAACTTTATACAATAAGTTCAAAATAAAAACTTTTAACTTATAAATAAAGTGACCTCTATGAATGGGAAAATTTTCACTCCTGGGGCATGATGTATTAAAATTTTGCAGAGATCTAAAAAACACACATTTGTTATAATTTATTTCTTAAATAAATTTAAGCAAAAATGTCACAGTAATTTGATAGTTGAAAAAAATTCCCAAAAAAACAACAGACAACACATGAGTGCCAACACACAAGACAGCATATACCAGTAAATCAAGTAAGTACTTAGGTGAGCATAAAAACATCAATCTCTTTGATGTGTTATTACAGTATACATTTAAAATTTTTAATTCAAATATCTTAAACCACTCAAAACATTTAACTTCTTCATCTTAATCAACATTATATTTAAATAGTGCAAGAAATCCGTTCTTAAAATAGGACAAATTATGCACCTTTTAAGAAAAGCATGAAACTTGGCACAGTTGTTGGCACTTAATACACTAGCTAGGATCCAGGTTGTATGGATGCAATGGCTTGAAAAATCCAAGATGGCAACAATAATTAAATTTTATTAGTTTTTCAGTTGTTTAATGGTAGTCTTTAGTCGTAGTCATTACTTTTTCCAGTACAGCATGGTAACTGAAATACATATAGGAGCAATAAATTATATAACTAATGTGTTTAAACATACCAGCCTGAAGATTTTCTTTTAACAAAATATTTATAAAATTGGCTACCCATTAAATAAACTAATAGCTGCTGTACAGTTATCTTCCAGTTTTTCTCAGTACAAAGGTAGATAACTGCACATTTTTCGAATAAAAAATTGACACAATTTGTAGTAAAGGTCACAAAGAATCTGACACTGTTGATCCAAAAAATGGAAAGGCGGACTCATAAACAAAAACTCAATCTTAAAAAAGTTAACAAAAACCACTTTGACCTTCACCTTAATGAGTCTCACATTTAGAATTCATCAAAAAAGAGTTAAAATTTTGGTCATTTTAGAGAGGGTGTTGTTAAAAACAGGGGAATTTTACAGACATATTAAACTGTAACTGCCCAAGAGTTATCAAAATTAAAACTGACCCATTAACAAACAATTAGTTGGTTTGAAATTATCTTTTGACCAATAGGATTGCAGTATTTCAAATGAATCGTAACACATTTCTTTGGTTAGTCGGCAGTTTGTTTTAATCAACGTCTTAAGTAAAATCAAAACTGTTTATAAACAATATTTAATACACTCATCCGATTTAAATTCATGAGTACAATATTTATACAAAATTAAAAGGTCGCTGTGCGCACCTGCCAATTTATTTTTGTAAATTTACGTACTCATAAACTGAACCTAATACTAAAAGCCCAAAAATACAAAATTACATAAAAAATGTTCCAAAAGTAACGTAAAATGAGTATTTGAATTTAAGTCCATTCAATTATCTAACGAACACAAAAAAAGGTGCTAAAATTACCACAAACGTTACAAATAAAATGACACTTCAAACAACAGCATCATGCAGCAAATAAACACATTACATTGCAAGTCAATAATGCAACTGTTAATTTTGGGTTTTCCCCTATAATTTTGATTACAAATAAAAAAAGGGTATCAAATCGTGTAAGGGTTCCTAAAAAATTTTATTGAAAGAGTGGAATAAAATTATATTATTCAAGCATATTATTTAATTCAAAAAGAATTTAGTAATGAAGCTACACATTACTATTCATCACATATCCGAAAGAACACTGTTGATGGGAAAACAGTACCACTTGTTCATTAACTTACATAAAGTGTATTGACGGTAAAACAGTACCACTTGTTCATTAACTTACATAAAGTGTATTGACAGTAAAACAGTACCACTTGTTCATTAACTTACATAAAGTGTATTGACAGTAAAACAGTACCACTTGTTCATTAACTTACATAAAGTGTATTGACAGTAAAACAGTACCACTTGTTCATTAACTTACATAAAGTGTATTGACGGTAAAACAGTACCACATGTTCATTAACTTACAAAAAGTGTATTGACGGTAAAACAGTACCACTTGTTCATTAACTTACATAAAGTGTATTGACGGTAAAACATACCACTTGTTCATAAACTTACATAAAGTGTAACGTAAACATTTAGCACGCATTAACCCAACGTTTATATGGAGCAAAATGTTATTGACATCACATCAAAATAAATGCATGGCCGTTTTTATGGAGCCACAAAAGTGACAGTCGGGTATGTGATAAATAAACTTTTAAGATTTTAATATACTTCCAATCCTTAAAGATGTTTCAGCAACATAATTTTTGTTGGTTTGTGGTAATGCTTCTTATTTATCATCTATGATTTTTAAAAAGTGGATCCCTGGCAGCTTGCCAATGAGCAGCGTCTTTGTATAAAGTAGTTTGTTTAAAGCAAAGTAGAAATGTGTGCATAATTCTTAAAAACTGTCTGGTCTGGATAGTAAACAAGTATTTTTAAAGATTGAAGTGTCTGTGATTGTTTTTTTTGAGAAAAATTATGAAACAAATTTATATAGATGGAAATATCACTTTTTTCAACTTCTAAGAGACTAAAGTTTTCTATAATAGTTTCTGAGAAAATGGAACTTATTTACCTATTACAGGTCTCCAGCACTTTACCTTTGACACGTTTTATAATTATCATAAGTGTGAGAGGTAGAACTTAACAAGGTGCATCAATAATAAAGTCTCTATGTTATAACAATGTTAGTCATGTAGACTTTGAACTAACACTTAACTTATAAGGTTAACCAACAATATCCAGTTATAACAATGTTAGTCATGTAGACGTTTTGAACTAACCTTAAAATTTTAAATTTTAACCAACCCTAAATCCATGGGTCTTCAATATCCAAACCTTTTTTCCCAAAAAGTGGAGCTTAAAAATATATTTCCCGCATTGTGACGTTTCAGCTTTTTACACGTTCCCCAAATTTATTTCACCGGGTTTCTTGCCAAATTTTAAAAAAAAATATATTTTTTATTTTTTTTTTATGATTTTTTTTGAAACCTTGTTATTAAAGTGTTTTTTTTAAAATTAACGTGACTTTTTTCCAAACCCCTTACTGTAAATTTAAAAGGGCTTAAAAATCTTAATAGTAAAAATGATCTGGGCCCAAGTAAAAGTGTGAAGAAATTTTTGGATTGTTAAAGTGGGAGTAGACGTATGGGGTGTTTGTGTGAACGAAAATGGATGTGTTTTTTGAACGCCCAAAAAGGGTGTGTTTTGTAAAGAACCCTATGGATGTGTTGTGTGAACAGACCCATATGGATGTGTTGTGGGTGAACAGACCCATATGGATGTGTTGTGTGAACGACCATATAGATGTTTGTGTGAACAGACTGTATGAATGAGTTGTGTGAACAGACCATATGGATGTGTTGTGTGAACAGACCATATAAATGAGTTGTGTGAACAGACTGTATGGATGTGTTGTGTGAACAGACCGTATGAATGAGTTGTGTGAGTAGACCATATGGATGTGTGTGTGAACAGACCATATGGATTTGTTGTGTGAAGAGACCATATGGATGTGTTGTGTGAACAGACCAGATGGATGTGTTATGTGAACAGACCAAATGGATGTGTTTTGTGAACAGACCAGATGGATGTGTTATGTGAACAGACCATATGGATGTGTTGTGTGGAACAGACCTTGGATGTGTTGTGTGAACAGACTGTATGAATGAGTTGTGTGAACAGACCGTATGAATTAGTTGTGTGAACAGACTGTATGGATGTGTTGTGTGAACAGACCATATGGATGTGTTGTGTGAACAGACCATATGGATGTGTTGTGTGAACAGACCATATGGATGTGTTGTGTGAACAGACCATATGGATGTGTTGTGTGAACAGACTGTATGAATGTATGAGCAACATTGTTCTGTTATTCATATTTATCTATTTTTCTAAATATAAATGATTGTTTAGCACTAGACAACTATCTGATATTTAATAACTTACGTGTATCAAACCTCCAAGTCTCATCTAGAGCACCATCTCTGTTCATGCCACCAAATATATACATGTTCGTTCCTATAGCAATGGCACCGTGTCCCGCTCTAGCAGACGGATAAATTTTCTTACGCTTTACGTCAGACCAAGTTAATTTGTCTAGGTTTTAAAAAATGCATATCAATTTAAAAATTGGTCCAGCTTTCCCCCAAAGAATGTAAAAATTTTGTTAAAATGGAAAAACAGTATGACCATGTTGGCTTTCCGGGGAATCTCCTTTTACATTTAAAGTTTCCCAAGAAAGTGTTTTTTGGGGTCAAAAATATAACTTGTTTATCAGTGACTGGGGCAGCCCCCAATGGGGCCCCACTATAAAAATAAATTTGTCACCCACTACCCACTATTGTTTTGAAAAGTTTTTTTGTGGGTGGGGTTTCCTTTTTTGTTTTAGAACTCCTGTACATGTATTTTTTATTAAAATTTGAATGTCGTTTATATTTTTCCCGTTTTGGTAGTCCTTTCCAAAAAACATATAAATTTCTGGGGTTTAGATTCTGGTTGAAAAAAGTGGATGTTTGTACCTAGCTCTAAAAACCCGGGGGTCAGAAAACCACCGAATGTTTAAGATCTAGAACATATGTATCCAGAATTTGGGCCGCTGGGGTTGCCCCCCCTATAATTTTAAAATGGCCCTTGTCGGTTCATGTTTCCCAGGTAGTAAGAAAGATTCCCTACCGCCCTTTGGGGATTCCCCAAACCCCGACAAAAAATACCAAAGTCCAGGATTGGGCACTGTTTCCACCCTTTAAATTGGATGTAGCTCCATAATTGGTTTTAAATTTAAAGTTTGTGAAAATATTTTATTAAAATTACACCAAATTAAAATATATAAAAAGTTGCACATTCAAAATTTAAAGTCATCCACCCCGATACAGTCATCCCGTTTCTATAAACTTTTTTTAAAAAAACGACCCTGTGAGTGAAAGTCTTATTCGTCGTTTCGGACGTCCCCCATCTCCCCTGTTGCATGAATAAAAAAACAAAATAAAGTTAATTGATGTGCAACAAAAAAAATTCACTTTTTAAAAATAAAAAAAAATGGAAAATTCACAATATATAAACTATAGAAATCACTTCAACGCAGCAAAATATTTACTCCATAATCACAAAAACTCTCTACAACAAAATGTTTTCACTTACAACACAAAACACAACACATGCAGAGTGTAGCTGGACTGTAGAAAATTTACTTTAAGGGGTTTTATATTGTTTTTTATATGCTAAAAGTTCCCTTAGAAAAACAAAACAGCTTTAAAAAAGTATATAAAAATTTTGGTTAAAAAAAAGAAGTGAATTTTTTATTATTTAATTTGGTTGAAGCATATCCCAAAGTAGGAGGGGCAGTAAAATTTCGATTCTTAAACCCTGCCCCTAATTTACTATCATTCAATGTAAGCCAAATTTAAAATATAGTTACCTCAAAATTAGGATTATATAAGGTTTTCACATGAAAACTTTTTGTAAAAGGGTTTTAAATAATGAGTTATTTTAAAAGGGGCAAACCCCGTCCCAAAATTTTAAAAAAATAGCAAATTTTTTTATTTTGTAAAAAAATTTTCTTTTTTTATGTTAAGATAAAACCCGAATTTTTACTGGGGTCAGCTTTGTGCCTTTTTGCCCCGTGCGATCTTTCCCGTGTTTTTTAAGACTTTTTAAACTTTTGGTTTTGAAAGGGTTTTTCTTTTTGTAGTGAATAAAGGCTGGTTAAAAACGACTGAGCTCGGCTGTTATTGGTTGCGGGTGTTGAGCTGGTGAAAAATAAAGGGGAAAGGGTTTTGCTTGTTTTTTTGACGTCGTTTTTTTGTCTTTAAGGGATTTTTGTTGCGTTGTGTTGGGGTACAAAAACAGACATAATTTTAAAAACTAAAGGGCATAAGTAATAGCAAAAAAGATAAAATAAATTAAAAAAGACATAAAGTAAAAAATAGAATAGACTAATGTAAAAAAAGCTCCAGATGCGGCCCTAAAAAGTTTTTAAAATACCAAGAATATCAAAATCCCCATCATTTTTTAAAATTGTGCGTAAAAATTAGCCCCAAAAAAATGAAAATACGCTTGTAATGTCAAAATTTAAGCGTGAAAGAATAGAAGTGTAAACATTCGATATTAAGGAAAAGAGGATGTTTGAGCATAAAAATACAATATATTTCCATTTTACTGCATTGAAAACTAAAAAAATTCTGTTGTCCCAACAACGGCAAGTTAAAAATTAAGTAAGCCGGAAGTACGAAAGGGAGGTAACTCACGTAAATCAACTGTGAAATTATTTGTAAAATTTGTTCCAGATAATCCATCGTAGGAGTTAACATAGTATCAGTTTGTTTTGGCATCCTTGTTGACATGCTTATGCCTCAATGTAAACAGAAATATATTTTAATTTCTTTCACTTTTGTTTGTGGGACAAAATAAACATGTTTTTCCACCTGCAGTTTTGTACTCAATATTTCGTACCCAGTCTACAGTTACGGACACTTCTCTCAGACAATATTTTTTTTAAGGAAAGATGAAAAAAATCTTGTTTATTTTTTCTTTAATTCTAATTTTCAACTATAATTGTTCAAACTGGAGTACATGATAAGATACATGCCAACAGAAATAAATAAAGAAAAATATTGACTCCTAGAAAATAAAATAATTTCAAGGCATCCACTCCTTCATTTGGCTTTTGACCTCCTAAAATCTAATACTTTTCCTTCTATACCTAGCCCTATATAATGTGACTTCCAATATCAGAGATTTTGAAGTCTTTGACTTCCAATTTTGAAAATGGAAATCCTGATAATTTTGCTGTGTATCCTTAACTTGAGTTCCAGTATACTCTGGAAGTCTGACTTTACATGGCATGTTTTGTATTGTTTCACATTGAATCAGTATTTTATTTGTAAAGAGTTTTCTAAAAAAAGAAAATAAACAAACAAACAAAAACAACAAGTTTAATTTGCTTATAAAAAATGCAAAATGCTTCTTTGACAGATTTTACCCCTTAAGTTTTTCAGAATTTGCATTTTACCCCTCACTCTAAATTTTGAGGGGTAAAAACCCCTTGGCCAAAAAAATTATCTGGAGCTCTGGTAAATACTAAAACAGACATAATGTAAATACTAAAACGGACATAATGTAATAGAAAAGAGATAATATAAATACTAAAATAGACATAATATAAATACTAGAATAGACATAATGTGAATACTAGAATAGACATAATATAAATACTAAAATAGACATAATGTAAATACTAAAATGACATAATGTAAATACTAGAATAGACATAATGTAAATACTAAAACAGGCATAATGTAATAGCAAAAGACATAATGTAAAATACTAGAATAAACAGAATATAAATACTAACATAGACATAATGTAATAGCAAAAAACAGAAAAAATGTAAATACTAAAATAAACATAATGTAAAAGCAAAAACAGACAAAATGTAAATACTAAAATAGATATAATATAATAGCAAAATCAGACATAATGTAAATACTGAAATAGACATAATGTAAAACCAACAAGATTTGTCATAGGGAACTGAACAAGAGCTGTCAGAATAACAGTGTGCTCACCTATTCTCACTGCCTGATGGTAAAACAAAGGCCTGGAGACCTGATAATAATAGTATTGAGTCTTGGATAATGGCCAAAGAAATTTGTATATATTTTTTTTCAAAGTCCATCCAGAGGAATGGCCTTCAATTGTATTTGAATCACATGAATTAAATTTAAAGTGAACTAGAACTATCACTAAATGTGATTAATACCCCCACAAGTCTGCTTAGGAAATGAGGATGTTACTAGTAACAGAATACCTTGTAAAAGAATTGAAACATCAGAGTTTTGGTTGTGGGCAATTAAAAAGATAAATTCGTGCGTTCCATGTATGTTCATTTCCTTTTTCAATGCTGGTTCGGCCATTGCTAAGTCTCCTAACTTCGCGCATTCCTCTCTGTAAATCAAGTCCAGAACCACAAGAAAAACAGCAACACACAGGACCACATCTAAATCTCTAAACAATGAAGATAGATTATAGTTCTTGTGCACTGCACTTCCTCTTATTGTGGGCTTGACCAAATGTATGAAGTTTTGTTTTGAAATTCCAAAACCAGTGACGACGGGTTTTAAGTTATGCTCCGGACAAAGAAAAGTATCAAAGGGCAGTAACTCTGTATTTTGTCAAAATGGAAAGTTATGGCTCTTGTGCACTGCACTTCCTTTTAATGTCATTGACAACTGTATGAAGATGTACTGAATTCCAAACAGTAGTTTTCAAGTTATGCTCTGGACAAGGAAAGTAACAAAGGGCAATAACTCTGTAATTAGTCAAGATGGAGTTATGGTTCTTATGCACTGCACTTCCTCTCAATGTGCTTGACCATTGTATGAAGTTATAATGAATTCCAACAATAAGTCTTCAAGTTATGGTCCGGACAAAAGAAAGCAATGGAAAAGTAACAAAGGGCAATAACTCTGTAATTAGTCAAGATGGAGTTATGGTTCTTGTGCACTGCACTTCCCCTTATTGTGCTTGACCATTGTATGAAGTTGTTTTGAATTCCAACCAGTAGTTTTAAAGTCATGCTCTGGACAAAGAAAAGAAACAAAGGGCAGTAACTCTGTAATAAGTCAAGATGGAGTTATGGTTCTTGTGCACTGCACTTCCTCTCAATGTGGCTGGACCATTGTATGAAGTTATAATGAATTCCAACAATAAGTCTTCAAGTTTATGGTCTGGACAAAAGAAAGCAATGGAAAAGTAATAAAGGGCAATAACTCTGTAATTACTTTAGATAGAGTTATGGTTCTTATGCACTGCACTTCCTCTCAATGTGCTTGACCATTGTATGTAGTTATATTGAATTCCAACCATTAGTCTTCAAGTTATGGTTTGTTTGTTTGTTTGTTTGTTTCATTTTTACGCCTTTTTCAACAGTATTTCAGTCATATAGGCGGGTAGTTTCCTAACCATCGTTCCTGGAGAGTTACACCAGTACTAGACAACCTTCCTCCGCGCTAAACTACCAAAGCATCTCCCGGGGATCGAACCCACGCCAGAGAGGTAACTGGATTTGAAGTCATCGACTCTAACCCCTCAAATTCAAGTTATGG